CTTGTCAGCACCTGTCACATGCACACTCAGCTTTGCGGAAATTACTGGCAATCTATCGAAGATTTCTGGTGAAGTAGAAAGCAAGTGAATCTTACTGTTCAATCATCCACTTTCCACACGCAACATCAGCTCATGGGTACCACATATAACTTTGCCAAAGATCTCTGACAAAGTTTAGACACGTCAAGCTTGCAGCTCCCACTACATCGCTATGACCAAGAAGGGTAAAAAAATAGCAAAGAAACAACACTAACAAAGTTTAGACACATAAATTTTGAAGGTTTAGCTACCATATTATTACCCACAAGGGTAAAGGAACAACACCACTGCTGGATAATTGGAAAGTCTCTGTGTGTCAACCTCTGTGCTCCGTGGCAAGGTAGACTAGCAAAAATGCCCAACCTTTACTCACATTTGAAAAAACACTCCCAACAAGATTGCTTGCTCCAAAATCGAAGAGGTACCGCCTTCCGAATCTCGAGAGCCCGACTCCCAACAGGATTACTTTCTCAAAAATCGAAGAGACACCGCTCTCCGAATTTCAAGAGCCAAACTCTCAGTAGGATTGCTTTCTCAAAAATCGAAGAGGCACCGTTCTCCGAATCTCGAGAGCCAGATCCCTGACAGGATCGCTTGTTCGAAAACCGAAGAGGCATCACTTTCTCAACTTCGAGAGCCAGATCTCTTTGCATAAAGCTTGTCTGTAATCTTCACACGCAACATCAGCTTTCCAGATACCACAGACCACTTTTTCAAAGTGCTCTGACAGAGTTAAAACACGTGAAGCTGGCAGCTCCCACTACAGTGCTATGACCAAGAAAGGTAAAGGAATAACATTACTACTTATTGTTAGGGAGACTCCTATATATGTCGACCTCCATCCTCAACGAACAGGCAGACCTACAAAAATGCTCAACCCTTCCTCATATCTGAGAGGGCACTCCAACGAAGCCTCTCAAAATACTCAGCTTTCTTTCCCCCCCGATAATACCTCTGCAAACAAGCTACACCAGAGCAAGAATATCTCATTTCATCAGGGTTAAAAGCAAGAGTATCTCATATCATATTTTTTTCCCCTGTCTTTTCCTTTGGCCTTGTTCTTACCTACAAGACAAGGAGAAAGAGAGCAATCAGTCAGCACTTGGAATCAAGCTTCTAGTCAGGAACTGACTGCCTGGAACCCTTACCTGATTACTTACCTGACATTGCTCTCGACTACTCATCTTCAATATCTTATGCTTCTAGAGAAGATACCACATCTGCCTGAGGAATAGATAGGGCAAGTGAGAAGGATACAAGGAAGCATGTGGAGATAAGCGTAACAGAACATGTGCCGATACTTCCACTACTTTGTCAACAGCAAAAGTATCCCATATCAGCAGGGTCGAACGTACTCTAGATTTGATGGACTTGTTTTGACCCTCAAATTCTTCAGTCGACCTTATACTCTGGAGGTAACCAGAAAACCCTTCAGCCCAGTTCAAGAATAAGCATGTGGAAAGTTACTTCTTCAAAAGCAAAAGTATCTCATATCATCTCTTCTCCTTTTCTTCTCTTTATCCTTCATACTGCTTGCAAGATAAGGAGAATGAGAACAATCAGCCGGAACTCGAAATCAAACTTCTGATCTGGGACTGATTGCTTGGAGCTCTGATTGCTTACCTTGTCTGTCACCTCTTTCAGCAGATTCCCTAGCTCGGCGACTTAGGGGACTCTTACTACATGGTTTGTATCGCTTTTGACCAAGCTTGAAACTACAAGTAATCTTCAAGTGAAATTGATACATTACCTTGTGCATCTCCACCAGTTAAAGATACCACCCCTGGACGGAGGAAGAGTACTTGTAGAGAAGATGGCACATCTACCTATGAGACAGATAAGGCAAGTGAAGACGATACCACACTTCGGTACTTAGAAGTTTCGTGATTACTCAGCGGCTTGGATCTTGCAAGTCCCCAACCGAGGAGCTTCCCCTCCAACCAGGAGGCCAATCACAGAGCGACACGTGTCAACATCGGAAGCCAATCACAACACAACACGTGTCAATGTCAGAACAAGGCTAGAAACCCTCTTCTATAAAAGGAGATCATTCTCCTAAAATATTTCCTAATGTCATTTGTACTAAATCATTCACTTGTACCCACTAAAGGAGAGCTTGAATCTATGTAATTGTGTAAATCCTTTACAATTAATGAGAACTCCTCTACTCCGTGGACGTAGCCAATCTGGGTGAACCACGTACATCTTGTGTTTGCTTTCCTGTCTCTATCCTTTTACATATTTATCCACACTAATGACCGGAGCAATCTAGAGAAGGTCACAAACTTAATACTTTCTGTTGTACCAAAGTCCTCACTGATTTTGTGCATCAACAATCCTTAAGTCCTTACCTTTTTGCATTGGTAATGGATGAGTTAACATGACATATTCAAGATGTTATTCTTTAGTGTATACTTTTCGCAGACGATATAGGGTTGATAGATGAAACTCAGGAAAGGGTAAATGCGAAGCTTAACCTTTGGAGAGAAGTGTTGGAATCTAAAGGTCTTCGCCTAAGCTGATCAAAGACAGAATATATGGAATACAAGCAGGATGGATGAAGTGGAAGAGTGCATTTGGCGTGTTGTGTGATCGTCATATGCCACTGACGCTTAAGGGAAAATTTTATAGGACGGCAATAAGGTCGGCGATGCTATATGGCACAGAATGTTGGGCGGTGAAGTATCAACACGTACACAAAATGGGTGTAGCGAAGATGAGGATGCTTCGTTGGAGGTATGGGCTCACGAGAAAGGATAAGATTAGGAATGAGTGGGTTGGACATGTGCAAAGAAGGCCTACTGACGCTCCAGTTCAAAGATGTGACTACAGGACAGAGGTTCAGGGCTGAAAGCGGTAGAGGAAGACCTAGGAAAACTTTGGAAGAGACCCTAAGAAAAGACTTAGAGTACTTGGATCTAACGGAGGACATGACACAAAACCGAGCGCAATGGCGTTCTAGGATTCACATAGTCGACCCCACTTAGTGGGAAAAGGCTTTGTTGTTGTTGTTGTAAGAAGAGCCGGGATTTCGAGATCCTGTCGAGTCGGCTGGTGATAGTGGTTTTCGTAGCGACGGTGTCGGTGGTCCAGTGGAGGTGGTGACTGGTAGGGGTGAGTGCATATGAGGTTGGGAGAATGAGGGAGGGGGTCGGTAGGGGTGAGTGCAGAAGAGGTGGGAAGAATGAGGGAAGATGTCAGTAGGGGTGAGTGCAGAGAAAGGGAATGGGTGGGTGTGCGGGGAAGAGAAGGGAGGGAGAATGAGGGAGAATGATTGAGGGGGTCGGGAGGGAGGGGGAAGGATGGATGTGCAGAGGTTGGGTAGGTGCAGAGTAGAGAAGGGAGGGAAAAGGGAGGGGGTCGGGGTGGGGAAGACGATAAGGTTCTGGGTTTTATTTTTTATTTTATTTATTTTATAATATTTAATTGATTATTTTAATATTTTGTAATGACACGTGGCGCCTAGTCATTGTCCACATGGGCGTCATGTTATCACTTAACGGGAGAATTAACAGTTTGACTAACGGATGTATGAGACTGTCCCAAAATTAACATTTTAGGTATGACTTTGGGACAAAAAAAACTTCATGTATTAAATGTTGATTTTTCTTTTCAGTTAATAAATAGTTTAACCCAAGAAAGTAATACACAAGTTTTTTATTACTGGAAAAAAGTAAAAAATTAATATATGCTTCACTTAATCAATTGTAATATAGATAAAATCATAAGATGATGATTTTTCTTTTCAGTTAATTTTTTATTTATTAGAACTTAAATGTAATATAGAGGAGGATTAAAAATTTTGGGGCGCTCAGAAATTCGGGGCCCTGTGCCCTGCACTTGTGCACATCACCACCACCACCACCACCCCCTCTAGCAGTAGTGACGGGTCATAGTGGTCAAGTGGCTACTGGTGGCAACGCTTGATTCAACACACTATATATGTGGTTCAGGCAATAGATAAGTACGATAAAGAGAGAGAAAAAGAGGGTAGGATTGATTCAACACACTAAATATGTGGTTCAGTCGGACGACAGATAAATATGACCATTTTGAAAAATTCATTGAATGCATTTTTCACCCGAGTTTTGGAATAACAAGCTTGTTTTTTTACTGCTTCAGTGGCTTCTTTTCACCCTCAATCGAAAAAGCTAGTTTTAGCATGTTTATCAAACACTAAAACGTTTCGACAAAAACAAAAAACAAACACTAAAAGTCCTCAGTTTTTTTTGTTTTATCACTTTTAGAAAAATTCAGTGGAAAAATATAAAATGTTGACGTGGTTTAACCGTGACCGCATAAATAGGAGGGGATGAAAGTGTATGGAAAGTGAGAGGGCAGAGAAGCTATGTCCCTATCCAATGGACCCGGCTTCTCTGCCCTCCCACTTCCCATACACTCTCATCCCCTACTATTTTGTGCGGTCACGGTTAAACCACGTCAACATTTTATATTGATTTTTTTTTAAAGATAATAAGACAAAAAACAATAGTAATATAAAATGTTGACGTGGCTTAATCGTGACCGCACAAATAGGAGGGGATGAGAGTGTATGGGAAGTGGGAGGGCAGAGAAGCCAGGTCCCTATCCAATGGATCCGGCTTCTCTGCCCTCCCACTTTCCATACACTCTCATCCCCTCTTATTTTATACGGTCACGGTTAAGCTACGTCAACATTTTATATTAAATTTTTTTATAGAGATAATAAGAAAAAAAATAATAGTAATATAAAATATTAATATGATTTAACTATGACTATATAAATAATAAAGAATGAGAATGTATGAAAAGTGAGAGAGTAGAGAAGCCAGGTCTCTATCCAATTGCGAAGAAAACGTGAAAGTGTGAATTGTTGTTTTTTAAATTTTTTTCCTTTACGAGTTGATGGATTTGATGTTTACTGTATTGCCTACATATATACGTGTCTAAGCATGGTTCCTCGTACTTGCATAGCAATCTTAAAGCTACAGAAAGAAAGCATGGAAAGCACAATGGTTCAGGGTTCAGCAGCTTCATCACAAAATGAAAGTGAAATTGTTCGGCCTTCAAAATATTATCACCCAAGCATTTGGAGAGATCAATTCATCAATTATGACGACTCTCAAGAAATTGTAATTATAATTCATCATCATGCGCGCATGAAGATTTCAATATTTTCTATCGCATGTATATCTCAATTTTATTTAACATTTTGTAACACAAATTGTTAACGTAAATTGTCTGACAACATATATAATTTTTACAAGAGAACGTTGGTTACATTATTTTTTTGTCATTTTATTAATTATTTTGTTTTTGCAGAGGACTTGTGCCGACATTCAACACCAAGTTAACCACCTCAAAGAAGCAGTGAGGAGAAAAATATTCACAGCAATTGCAAGTGACTTTTCCCATCAACTAAAGTTAATTGATATTATTCAGCGCCTTGGCGTGGCATACCATTTTGAGAGAGAAATCGAAGAAGCACTGGATAATATGCATGCTACAATATTTGACTACCATGGCGACAATTATGGCGATCTATATAGTGTTGCTCTTGGTTTTCGGATACTAAGACAACATGGATATAACGCTACATGTGGTAGGTGAACAAAAAGTACTACGTATGCATGTGAAGAGAAACTTCAGTAGATGGCAACTCTCACTAATCTCAATTTTCTTAATTTGCGAAAAAATATCTTACAAACGACGTGTTTGTCCTAATTTTTCTCCTGACATGTCATGGACCATGGACTAATATTATTTTCTTTTTCTTAGCAGCTATGTTCAACAGGTTCAAAGATGATGAGAATGGTAGTTTCAAGGAAAGCTTGACTGATGACCTGTCGGGCATGCTAAGCTTATATGAAGCATCCCACCTGAGGGTGCATGGAGAAGATATACTAGAGGAGGCTTTTAATTTCACCACCACTCACCTCGAGTCGGCAGCAACCAAAGCAAGCTATCCGCTATCAGCACAAATAACTCAAGCTTTAGAGAGACCTCTGCGAAGAAGTCTAGAGAGATTATCTGCCAGGCATTACACGTCAATCTACCAAGATGAAGCTTCCCATGACGAAGCTTTACTGAAACTTGCAAAGTTAGATTTCAATCTTGTTCAGGCTTTACACAAAAAGGAACTCCAAGAGATTACAAGGTAACCGTTCTGTATATTTTTGTTGAAAGAAATTGAAATAAGAAAAATTAGACGGTGGGTACATGTAAGATCTAATTAGTAAGATGAAAACACAGGTGGTGGAGAGCACTAGAGTTTGACAGGAAGCTGCCATTTGCAAGAGATAGGGTGGTGGAGTTGTACTTTTGGACAGTGGGAGTATATTTTGAACCCCAGTACTCTGTTGGGAGAAAAATTCTGGCAAAAGTGAACGTCTTATTAACTGTGATGGATGATATTTACGATTCATTTGGTACATTTGAAGAACTCGTGACCTTTACTGAGGCAATCGACAGGTTTGAAATAAACAATACTCTTTAAACCTTGACCGCATTTTTCTATTAATAAATCTTAATATATATATATATATATATATGTTTCAGGTGGGATGTCAATGGCCTTGATGAACTGCAAGACTATATGCAAATATTTTACTATGCACTTCTGAATCTTTTTAATGAAATTGAGGAAGAGATGATAAAGAAAGGAAATTCATACCGGGTTCCCTATGCAATAGAAGCTGTACGTAACCCTAAACCCTAAACACTAAACACTAAAACCTATACAATATGCAAAACTCAAATTGCTCTTAAGATGCAAGATCAATTAATTATTAATTTTCTGTTAAATTGTATTGGAGAATTTTAAACGGTGGCGTAATTAATTATTTATCTTCTATTTAATAATGCATGCATGCATGGCTCAGATGAAAGGTCAAGCTCATTCCTATTTGGACGAGGCCCGATGGTTACACGAAGGACGAATTCCAAGCATGGAGGAGTATATGCGTGTTGCAACAGTTTCTATTAGCTACACCTTCAATACAGCCATCACTTTACTTGGCATGGGAGATATTGTAACAAAGCAGTCATTTGACTGGTTGTTTAATGACCCCAAAATTATTAGGGCTGCAAATACCATCTTCAGAATCATGGATGACATTGTTTCGACCGACGTACGTATAAATTAATTTATAAATGAAAAACAATAATCATACATATTTTTCTTATCACACACCACTCTTTAATTATGTACATCAAATTGAATAAATCAAACGAAAACAACTGAATAAATAATAATTAAGATCCTAAGAAACATTAACTCTGGATATTTCTACCTTTCCTTTTTTTTTTTTTTTTTGCAGGCTGATGCTATTACTTGTGTTCATTGCTACATGAAGCAATACGGGGTCTCAAAGCAAGAGGCAGTTGATGTTTTTGAGAAACAAATTATGGATTTGTGGAAGGATATAAACGAGGAGTTCCTTAGATCAACAGTTGTTCCAATGCCCGTCCTCACGCGCGTCCTCAATCTAGTACGAGTACCTGATCTCCTTTACAAAGGGGACGATGGATTCACACGAGTGGGAAAGGTGACAAAAGATGGTGTCGCTTCAATCTGTATCGATCCAGTCCCTCTATGAGGGTTTTTTTGGTCAATTATCCCACACTGTGTTTGTTTGGATGTCTGTGTATATATATAGTATAAAGCTTTACGATCTGTCGTTGAATAAGATGAACATTGTAATGGAAGAAAAACCTGTGTATGGCTACTTGATGACGAGTTGACAACTTTTATATTGGACGGCCATTGATGGAGTAGTTGAACTCGTAGATTTTGTTGTAGCGGGATCGGCCTTCCCTCACTCTCAGCCCTTGCCCTTGGTTCCCTGACAGTAATGTCGCCACCGACTTGGCCACCGACGGCTTCTCCGCCACGGTCAGCACCGTAACACTACTCCCACTCCCTGACATTTTCACCACTCCACTCGACGACTCTACCCTACTCGCCCCTCCTTCTTTTGATTACGCCTTTTTCTTTTCCCGCTTGCACCAACTCCCATTGCTGGAGAGATTTTTCAGGACTCGTTTTTCTCTATTTGGTTCGATTTGTTTTTCCTTTTTTGGTTTTTTGTAGGGATTGGCCTTTTTCTTTTCTGATCCTTAGGCCATCTCTAACCGAAGGGTCCAGATGGCCAGAGTGCCGAAAATAACCCTAAAACTGTCTATAACCGAGGGCTAGGCCAGAGGGCTCTGGAATCTGGGAGGGCCCCACGGGATGAGAGAGGGCTGGCTGCTTTCGGCCAGCCAGCCAACCCCAGGCTGACTATTTTTTTTTTTTAATGTTTTCCTATTGCTGTCGGTTATAACCGACAGCATTAAAGAATAATTTTTTAATACTGTTGGTTATAACCGACAGTAATAGTTATTCAAAAGCAAAATTTTTCTTTTTAATTACTATTAGTGTCGGTTATAACCGAAACTAATAGTTTGAATTTTTTTTAAGGACACTTTGGATGCGGTCCCTAGCTATCACTATTCTTTGATTGAAACCTAGTTAGTTTTTAGTTTTTGATTGAGGTCCCTGATATTAATGTAATAATGTAAGTTACTATATTTTTTTAATTAAAAATTAAAAATTGAAATTTGTAATTGTTTATATTAATGAGATTTTAAATAAAACCCATAATTTATGGGATTAAAAATAATAAAATATAAATTATTCTCTCTATTATATTTTGTGTGTGTGTGTGTATATATATACATATATGTATGGGTACATTAACCAAAATTAACAAAAAAAATTATTGTACCAAAACATGGATACATTGTCAAATCAACGAAAAAGAATGTACCCATATAAGTTTAAACATGGATTAAAAAATTTGAAGGGATTTTATATTAAAAAGGGTACATTTTACATATAACAAATTGATATATTTGAGAATGGGTACATTTAAGATTAAAAAATTGAGAATCTTTTTATATATAAAAAAAAACTAATAGGTACAAACTTAATTTAATTTAATTTTTTTATTATTTTGGAAATGTTTGAATTGAAAATTAATTAGAAGTTTAATAGAGGTGTGAGTATTAAACCCTAAATTAATTACTAATTTTTATATTAAAAAATTATATAATAAACATGTAAATTCATTATCACATTAATGCTAGGGACTTGAATCAAAATTTGAGAACTAATAAGGTGTTAGTCAATGAACAATAAAAACTAGGGACCATATACTAATTTTTCCTTTTTTTAATATAACGGCTAGTAGCCGTTGTATTAACTTTTTTTTTTATGAATTTAAACTTCTTTTTTTCCCTTTTTTTTTTCCTTTTCATATGAATCAAATTTTGTTTCATATTTTTTTTCAATTCTATTTTACAAAATTTGTTTCATTTTTTTTTAAATTCTATTTTTTTCATATAACTTCTATTTTACAAAATTTGATTCATATTTTTTTTCATATAACTTCTATTTTACAAAATTTGCTTCATATTTTTTTTAAATTCCATTTTTTTCCTATAACTTCTATTTCACAAAATTTGTTTCATATTTTTTTTAAATTCCATTTTTTCCTATAACTTCTATTTCATAAAATTTGTTTCATATTTTTTTTAAATTCCATTTTTTTCCTATAACTTCTATTTCACAAAATTTGTTTCATATTTTTTTTTTAAATTCCATTTTTTTCCTATAACTTCTATTTCACAAAATTTGTTTCATATTTTTTTAAAATTCCATTTTTTTCCTATTTTTTCCTATAACTTCTATTTCATAAAATTTGTTTCATATTATTTTTTTAATTCTATTTTTTCCCTATAACTTCCTAAGCCATTGGATTTGAATTTAAGTTGTAGTTTTTAAATAATAAATTATGTTTGGCCCTATGACCCTTTGGTCCTCGGTTGGAGACAGTTTTTTGTGAAAGGGCTAAAACGAGCCCTCTGGCCCTCGGTTGGAGACGGAGGCAAATATGGTCATGTACTGTTCATTAAAATATTAATATCTTGAGGAATCTTGGAGGGCCAGAGGACTAAAACGAGCCATCTGGCCAGCCCTCGGTTAGAGATGGTCTTATTGCTGTTGAACTTTTAGGTTGAGCTTAGTATAAAATATTAATGTCCTCAGAACAAAAGAAGTACGAGACTAATTAAAAATGTTTGGTTCATAAAAATCTAAAAATCTAAAAATCTCGGCACTTCGTGAGAATAAAATAATATAAGAATATATGACGTGGGGCCAAGGCTCTTTTGTGTCAGTGAGAGGATGGGTGAAAGGGACGCATGAGAAAATAATTATAACGGAATCACGCGTATTATATCATGTTTTTTTATATAAATGATGGAAAATTTTATTTTTTAAATTATTAATTTTTTAATACACATATCTTACTATTTATATAGCAACACGTGGTGTATAATTTCATGTGATAGTTACACTTAAAAATCTTTCACTGATAAGATGAGAGAGATGGGGGATGGTTTGTTTGGGTGTGTGCGGGGCCACATGACGACAAGGAGAGAGGAGAGGGAGGAGAGAGAGGGAAACGAATGGGGGCATAAGTGAAGAGGAAACGAGGGGAGAGAGAAGAAAATGAGAGAGAAAGAGGAGAGAGAAATCGAGAGCAAAACTATTTTGTGGTTTTGTTAACATTTTGGTAGTAAATGTCACACACTTTATGTGTTGAGAAATATATTTTTTAAGTATTTGTATTTTAACTTTTTATGAGAGGAGCTATTTGTTTTTAATAAATTGGCACGCATCTTGAAAAAGATAGGGGTTTGTAGTTAGGAAAGAGAGAGAAAAAGTTGAGAGGGTATTGATAAAGTGACACAGCTGTGAGGTTTAAAAAAAATAAATAAAAACTTGTTTATACATAATTACTTTAATGTTTACATTGCTTTTTTGACAACCCGTCCCTAATTCTACGATTTCACAAATTTTAAAAGTGTGAATTAAAGAAAATGCCCCTACAGGCAAGGATTTCGACTTCTGTTGACCATTGTTTAGAGAGACGTATGAAATATTCTTTCAGCGTATCCTCGTAGTATTCATCATTACAAATGCGTAAGAGCAAGCGAAATCAAATTTGAAGCTACGATGGATATTTTATAGACTTACGAAGTCCAAGGGCATTTCGGTAAAGTCATTATTCAAAATAAAATACCATTTTATTATTTTAATATTTTTGTTGTATGATTTTTTCAGCATGGTGGGACCCACCTGTGACAACTCGTCCCTAATACTATGATTTTATAAATTTTAAAAGTGTGAATTTACGAAAATGCTCTAGATGAAGGTTTGGACTTTCGTTGATCAACGTATAGTGAGACAGATTAAATATTCTTTTAGCGTATTCTTGAAGTACTCGACGATATGAACGCGTAAGCGTAAGCAGAAGTGAATTTGGAGTTACGGTTAAAGTTTTATGGAGCTACGAACCCGAAAGTGTTTTGATGAAATAACTATATTTTAATTATATTATATTATTTTATACTACAAAATTATTGGGCCACATGTGTGTGGCTGACACACCCCGACCTGGAAAGGTCGAAGCATGCTGGCCATCACCGTGAGGTGACGTAACCACAATGGTAAGTGATGCAAAAAGTGAATAAAATTAAAACTAAACAGTGAAAGAGTGCGCAATTCGTGGGTTGAACCCACTACAATTATCCATAGCGTAATAGACGGTGAGACTACATAAGCATAGTCAAAGCAACCAAAGTACATTTATTACATGATAGTGATAAGTTCATACGTCTAAAACAGAAGGAAATGTCAGACCTGCCGGGATTCTTCGAGTGCCACAAAAAGTACGGTTATCTAGGTCCTGGAGGGGCGAAAAACAAAGTTGAGTGGGTCAGCAAAACAATGCTTATAAGAGAACCTTTATCTTTGAATATACTAACCCCTCGCCGTAAAATAAGTATAGTTTCCTCAAAACAGACTACGTAAGTATGAAATCCAATATAACAACAATATAATCAGAAATATGCCAAGTAAATGATATATCATATGCCACAGTAATAATCTTGTGATAATCAATATAATAAAGTGCTCATCCATATAAGCTGACTAGGGGTGGGTTCGGTTCCGTTCGGTTCGGTTTTTTGCCAAAATCGGAAACCAAACCGAAATTAATGTTCGGTTCGGTTCGGTTCGATTTTCTATCGGTTTGCTTTCGGTTCGGTTTCGGCCCGGTTCGGTTTTTTTTTTTTTTTTTTTTTTTTTTTTTTTTTTTTGTGTTTCCCAATAGCAAAAAAAAATTCTAAGAAAACAACTTGTAGCCATTTTGTAATACATCTTCCAAAGGAGTATAAATAAAATCAAAGTCCCATTTCAACATAATTGATAAAATAAGCTATTTGATTTTGATCTTTGAACTTGAGCTTGAGGCCCTTGAGACCTTTAACGCCTTTGACTTCATCTAATTCACACAAAATAATAAGAAGATAGTAGTTAGTACTACAAACTTATACAAAAGTAAATGTTAATTAAAATCTGGAAGGCCAATGATACAAAATCAAGACAAAATCTGGAAGGCCAATCATCCTTTACAGTTTACAGCAAGACAAAATCAAGTCTCCCAACATTGAATTACAACGCACCTATTTATAATAACCTAATCCTACAACTATTCCACAACAACAAAGGCAAGAATCAAACTGATATCGAAGAAAGGAAACAGGTTCATGGTGCATTGAACTATACAAAACAAATGCAGCATAACCCATTATGCATAAACAACAAAGTATAAGTATAAACAAAATATATGATTAGTCCCCTTGATAAATAGTAATTAGTTCCATAACTTCCTGAGACCTATCATTCTCCTTTTACATGACTATTACGCGGCTTGCAATCCCATTATACATAAACAACCATCACACTAAAACCCATCACAGATGCGGCTTGCAAATGCAATCCCTTTTTTTCTTTCTACAACTAAAGGCTAAAGGGGCTCCACTCAACCATACCTGTATATACTTCCAGATAATTAGAGCCAAAAGGTCCAAACAACCACAGAGAGCAAACATTCAAACCAAACCTCTAAAACTATATAAGCCACGATATATCTCTGTTACATAATCCAATCAGAAAAAAAAAATCACCAAACCTTAATAACCCAGAGGATGAAAACCCAACAAAAATAGAGCCCTAAAATAGTCAAGCTCTGAACCCCTTCATTTCCCATAATTCCTCAACAACCAAACATACTTCAAACCGAAACCGAATAATCACATCCAGTCAAACACGTTAAAAATAT